GAGTTTACTCACATTGCTTTCCTGTACATATGTGTTACATTCTAAATTAATTCTTCTCGAACTAACCTTTTCTCTAGTTCCTGGTCCCCTTCTCCTATTGGCCTCTGTCGCTTTAAAGTTTCTGCATTAGTTCCTTTGCACTCTAGCTTTCTTAAAATCTTGGTGCTCAGACTTGCACTGTCCTATGTTCTCTTTTGCTTAGCTTTACTAAAGCCTATGTTTAAAGTTCTCGGTGCAGACTTGCACTGTCCCATGTTCTCTCTTTAGCTTTCTTAAAGTCTCAGCCCTCAGACTTGCAGACAAACAACAGTGGCTATTCCCTTGCAAGCTGCCAACGAATTCTGTCAACCCCTCTTTGGCAATTCCCCTTTAGCAATTCTTCAGCAGTTCTTTTCCCTTCAGCAATCTCCATCCAGCAATTTCCCTTCAGCCAAAAACCCCCATCAAAAAACCTCCCTTCATCCAAAAGCCTACCTTCATCAAAAAGCCTTGCATCCTCCTTCAGCTAGGAAGTGGAGCAACGTTTTCTAGGTTCTCCAGGAGGAGCGTGACATTGTAACAGGAGAAACCTGCATTAAACAGTTTAGGAAAAGCAGCTGCTCTGCAGCTTATTCTTGCCCTATTCTGCATCTGGGGCTGTGCCAAATTCAGCCTGCAGAACATTGAGTACAACCATGCTTATGTCCTCATAGGCTTCTCCTACTCCTCTCCCCACAACACAACCCTTGTTAAATTTGAATTTCAGATAAAAGACAAATAATTTTTGGTACAGGTTCAAGTGACCCTAATCTGAAAATCCAAGATGCTTCAAAATCTGAAAGTTTTTGATTGTTAACATGACACCATAAGTGGAAGATTATAGACTTGACCTTGTGGCAAATTGCAAGTCCATTAAAAATACTGTCTAGGGCTGGCAGAGTGACTCAAGTGGTGGAGGGCCTGCCTAGCAAGTGGGATGTCCTGACTTCAAACCCCAGTACTACCAAAAATAATTGTCTAAAATCACCTTCAGCCTGTATGTATAAGGTATATGTTGAAACAACATAAATTTTGTGTTTAGGCTTAGATCCTATCCCTAAGATACTTCATTATGTTTATACAAATAGTCCAAGATCTGAAAACATCTGGAACACTTCTGGTCCCACATATTTCAGATAAGGATCACTCAATCTGTAGAAGTTTGTCCCCTGCAGTATTTGAAAGGCTTCTTGGAAGTCAACGACAAATATGTCCCCTCAATGTTAAGGACAAACATACACAGAACAGCTGTTCACTATTTATCTGAAACTTAGGTGTAACTGGGCATCCTATGTGTCTTTTGTTGTTCCTGGTTGCCCTCACATCTTCCTCCTGTCCTTACTCCCCACAGGAGCTGCCCCACCTGTGACCTTGGTGTCCTATCCCCCATCCAGTATTCTCAGATCACCCCTAAACCTGGGCTTGACCCTCAGGGGCAGCGCGGCGGGAGCTGCCTTGTCTGTGGGTGCTGGCTGGATGCTGGGCTCGGGCCAGCCCCTGTGACCCTGGCTTGTCTGCCACCCCCAGACATTGCCGAGGAGGTAGGCTGCCCCCTGTCCTGCGCAGTCAGCAAGAGGCGGCCTGAGTGTGAGGAGTGCGGCGGCCTGGGTTCTCTGACAGGCAGATGCGAGTGGAGGCAGGGAGATGGCAAAGGTAAGCACCAGGAGCCTGAGGGAGGCCAGTGCTTGTGGCCAGCTGGGGTGAGGGTGGCCTGTAAATATGGGGTCCTATAGGCCCCATATTTCACTAATCCTTGTCTGCTCCCTTGTGCCTCGTGTGGCTCCAATGCTGGCAAAGAGGGCAGGCAGGATGTGGGGTCATGAGGGCCTTTGTCATCCTAGACCTAGAGCTGGATTTATTCCAGTCTTGGAAAGGTCTGAGCCAAAGTTAAGATGCACAGGGGACAGGGTGGCTCTTTCAGGAGTTCCTAGACCAGAAGGACATGGTCCTGGGGGCACAAGGGTCTCACTGTGAGTGTGACCACCACAAGGATCCCACTTGAGGTAACAGCCTTCAGAAGGTCCCAGCCTCCTTGATGGAAGGCTGTCTGTAGCCCTGGAACTACCCAGCCCCTAGCACTCAGGACCCCTATGCCTAGCATTCCTCAGGGATGCTTCTGCTGGTAGCTGAGAAGTGCGTGCTGTTTCTCTGCTAAAGTCTCAGTTTCCCTTTCCATAGAGAGCAGGGTTGCCTAGGAGGCTGGGGAGCAGTGTAACAGTGGGGGCATTCCTACATGAGGTCACAGCTACTGTGTGTTATGTCACAGGGATCACCAGAAACTTCTCCACCTGCTCCCCCAGCACCAGGACCTGCCCTGATGGCCACTGCGATGCTGTGGAGAGCCAGGACATCAACATCTGCCCCCAGGACTGCCTCCGTAAGCTGCCTGCCTGGCCTGAAGTAGTGGCCTTTAATCAGTGGTCAGGGACAAGCAAGGGGCAGAGAGAGCTCACAGTGGAGAGGCTCGAATCCCCAACCTGCACACAACCAGAGATGCTACATCCATCCATTTAATGCATCAAGCTGGGCTGGGGTATGGCTCAGTGGCAGAGCACCACCCAAAACAAAAACTGCATGATGGTAATTTCACTGAGCATGTGTCAGACAAGCCTCCTAACATTTCACTTGAACAGTGGTTCTGTGCCCCAAACTGTTGGAGTCTGACAGCCCACCCTTCCCAATGGCTCACTCAGGGACCCACCTTCCCTCTCACTCACCCCACCACCCTCCTCTGCTCCTAATGAGTAACCATGTGTAGTGTCTTCCGGGACCTCAGCAGGGACCTGGGAAGACTATGGTTTCCCCTCTCCCTCCCAAGAACAGGTAACCAACTTGGGGACATTGTACTGGGACCCCTGCCCAGCTGGGCAGGGCTTCTGCGTTCCCGGGCACTAAGTGGAGAGGGCCCTTGCCCTCTTGAGACACTGCTCTGTGCAGTGCGGGGACTCTGGGTTGTCAGATCACTCTGGGAGGCTCACTGGGCTACATCTGTCCTCAGGAGGCAGCATTGTTGGGGGGCACGAGCCAGGGGAGCGCCGAGGAATTAGAGCTGGCTACGGCACCTGCAACTGCTTCCCAGAGGAGAAAAAGTGCTTCTGCGAGCCAGAGGACAGCCAGGGTGAGCAGAGGCCTCGACCTATGACCCCATTGGTGCAGCCTTAGATAGAGGCAGGGCCCCTACAGCGTGTCTTTTGGGCCCCAGGTTCTCAAAGAAGAATGGGCCAGAAAAGCAGTCCTTCCTCCAAATAACTTGTCCTCTGGTCAGATGTCCCTGTGCTGGACTCTTGCTGAGCCCTGGTCACCATCTGGCTGGGACCCACTCTCTCCACCAGAGTGTCCAGGCCACCTTCAAGGGCAGCAGGTATAATGGGAGGTTCAGGCCGTCCTGACCACACTGGGGGATGCTTTCCTGCTTGTGGCCAGGGACACTCTCCTGGTATCTGAGTTATCATAGGCCCCTTGGTCCCAGCTCTTAGATCCTTAGTCTAGGGATCCTTAGATCCTTAGAGCTCTTCTCCTACCTTCTCATGAAGAAAATTCCAGACATCTGGAACAGAGGAAAACTTTGACTTCCCTGCCAGCCTTCCAAGATGAGTTGGTGCAGCTGGCATACTGTCTCTGCTGTGTAACCTTGGCAGATGGCTCAACCTCTTTGTGCCTCTGTTTCTACCTGAGAGGATGGTAGCAGTCTAGAGTAGGGAGTACACAGTGCTTGTGCCCAGTTGGTGCTGTTGGCAGGCTCAGGCCTTCACAGTAGCACCCCCTGCTGAAACTTGTTATGGCATCCCTGCCACAGGCCCCCTCTGTGATGAGCTGTGCCGTACGGTAATTGCAGCTGCCGTCCTCTTCTCCTTCATCGTTTCTGTCCTACTGTCTACCTTCTGTATCCACCGCTACCACAAACATGCCCACAAACCACCCATCGCCTCTGCTGAGATGACCTTCTGCCGACCCGCCCAGGCCTTCCCAGTCAGCTACTCCTCATCTGGTGCCCGCCGGCCATCACTGGACTCCATGGAGAACCAGGTCTCTGTGGACACCTTCAAGATCCCGGTGAGGGTCCCCAAGAGGCTTAGGGGTGGGGGTTGGCTTGAAGGAGAGGGCTGCACAGCCTTTCCTGCCTACCCGGAACATCTGTCACCATCCCAATAAACCTCAGGAGGATCCCAACCTTGCCAAGAGCCTTCCAGGGAGGGAGTGAACTGTGGAGCTGGGCAGTTCAGGGTGGTAGCGATGGGTGCTGATTTAGATAGACAAGACTGGGGTCTGGGATGGCCATGAAGCTCTTGGGGAAGGTGGGCTGTCCAGGTAGCTGTGAGCAGAGTCCCCAAGACTGGGGAGGCCAAATAGTAAGGTCCCCCACAAGTCCCTGAGGGTTTTTATCTCAGAAGCCACAGCCCCCAGGGGTAGGAATTCTCACAGGCTGCTCTGTTGGGAAGTTTAGGGGTGAGGGGAAGTGCCAAGGACTGTGATGAGGTGCTGTCCCAGAGGACCAGGGTTTGGTCAGGGCAGTGGCAACACTGGGCAGGGCAAGTGTACCCACATAGAGGGAGTTGAGGCTGAGGGTAGAGAGTAGTCCCAACCAGTGGCCACAGATGGTGGTGTCCCTTTCCTTGTGGGTGGCCTGGCCAGCCAGCTAGCATGTGCCATCCAAAGCCAGACTGCCACTGGAGCCTCCTGTCCTGGCCAAGTCTCCCCACACACCATGCACATATCAGAACGTGTGGTCCCTGGCCTGGAGCAGTGAGACCCTCTCAGGCCCTCTCTGTGTTGAGGGAGCCTGGCAGAACCATCATAAGCAGGACCCTGAGACCTACATGCTTTGGGGAGACCTAGAGTGACAGGCTCCTTGTGTGGCGCCAGCACAATGGGGGACGGCTCCTGCAGGCTTTGGTATCTAGAGCTCACATACACCAGCCAGGGTGCATCTGGAAAGGTGTGCAGAGTGCTCATGATGGGCCGTGTGGGTGGGACTTGAGAGGGAGGACACAAGAGGCAGCATGCCCACCAGAGCCCGGGCCAGGGACACACAGACAGAGGCTGGGGCTGCTGGCCGGTCAGTGCAAGCACCCATTGGTACTTAGCAAGCCCTGAACCCCTCACTTGAGAGACAAGGAGTTGAGCCCTGAGTGGGCCAGGGAATGTCAGGCATTGAGATTAGCCCTTCCCCCCAGGGAGACCACATGTCAGTGCTCTCAGGGCTGGTGGTGTCCTCAGCAGAGGAGACATCACCAGTTCTGCTTCATTCCGATCATGGTCAGTTCTCTGCACTCTTGCCCTTACCCCCAAGGCCTTCTTCTTCAACTGTTCTCCTCACATTCTTCTCCCCTCTTTTGTTCCCTCCCTTAACTCCAATGTAGGAGGATCCAAAGTGGGAATTTCCTCGGAAGAACTTGGTTCTTGGGAAAACCCTGGGAGAAGGCGAGTTTGGAAAAGTGGTCAAGGCAACAGCCTTCCGTCTGAAGGGCAGAGCAGGGTACACCACAGTAGCCGTGAAGATGCTGAAAGGTACCCATCCAGACACTGCATGGGCACCTGCAGGGGTCACTGGATGGGGGGCTTCTACTGCAGGACCCCCATTGCTGTTCTGGGACAGCTGCAGTCTGGGTGGCCACAGAGGTCCTGGAGAAGCAGGGGAGGACCTTGCTCTCTTGGACAGTGTTGCTCTCAACTGTGTCAATGAACATCCCAGGACTTAAAACATTTAAAATCCCTTTTTTTTCAAGATCGTTGTTTTGGGTTTTTTGTTGTTGTTGTTGTTTGTTTAGTTTAGTTCTCTAAGACAGGGTCTTGCTATATATCCCAGGTTAACCTTGAACTTGAGATCCTTTTGCCTTCCCCACAGGAGTGCTGAAATTACAGGAATGCATCACCATGCCTGGCTGCACCCTTTGGTTTTGAGCTGTTAGGTGCCCACATCCCAGTCTTCCCCATTCATTCCTCTCAACCAAGGGTCCACTGAGCCCTGGTGAAGAGACCCCCTGTGACCACTGGGCCCCCAACTCCAGCAGTCCCTATGGGCCTTCCTGCTCCTATGACCAGTCATGCCTCAGGTTTGGCTCCCAGTGGGCATGCACACCTGTCCACACACACACAGGTGTGACTCTAGGTAGAGACTATGGCCACACTGGGTGGGTAGCCCTCTGCTGTGGCTGCACTCCTTGTGGACCAAGGGCCTGATGGCAGCCAGGCTATGTGGTAGACAGCTCACGTTGTTGGAGCTCCAAGTCCTAGTGCAGTGGTCAGTGTGCTCTGCACACTGCTCCAGATGCCATACATCAGGTTCAACCCTTGAATTCCTGATACAGCTGAGCACAGTCTTGGCTACCCACACCTGGTCCAAGGGGCCCTGATGCCTTGTCTCCCAGCTGTCCCCTCCCCTCCAGACAAAGGAGATGGTGTGGCACAGCTAAGAAGCTAACCAGGAGAGGTTGTTTAGCCACCAAGGCATGAAGGTCTTGGCATACATAGTGAGAACTCGTAGGACTTAAGGACTTAGGAGACCTTCTGTAAAGTCTGGTCATCTTCACAGTGTGCCAGTTAGGCACTCACATGGAGTGTGGCACTCATTTACAAGTCCCAAACTTGAAGTGCAGTGTGCAGTGAAATGCTAACACTGTCTTAACTCATGTGTGTTAATGTGGGATTTCTGTTACAACTGAGTATGAGCTCCGAGCACACATGTATTTTGGCACATCACAAGTATTAGAGATGCCTAAGGGCTCCAGGCTGTGTCAGGTTCAGCGAACAGGGAGCCTGGGCTGAGTGTATGTGTTCCTCACCTTTCTCCAGGGCTAGTCCCACAAGCAGGTATGTGGGGACATTAAGGAGCCCTCTCACTTTCCAGAAGGATTAAGAAAGGGGGCTCTCTGCAGGCTGCTGTCTTCTAAAGATGAAAACTGTGGGGACATGATGCCTGTACACAAGTAACCCCACCTTGGGACATTTTCCATGGAAAGGTCCTGGTTATGTGGAAGCTTAACTGAGGTTCTTATCCCCCAGGGGCACATGAAGCCCCCATGGGCTGACCCCAAGGACTGCGAAGAACCTCAAGCAGCTGGGTGCCTAGGTCTACCAGTTGATCTGGGCCAGGTGCCTATGAAGGAGGTGATGAACCTGTCTGTTCCCCACTCAGCACGGCCACACAAGGGGCTTCTACAAGGGCCTGTGTGCAGCCTGCTGTGTGTGTGCTGTGTTTCAGAGAACGCCTCCCCAAGTGAGCTGCGGGATCTCCTGTCAGAGTTCAACCTCCTGAAGCAAGTCAACCATCCACATGTCATCAAGCTGTATGGCGCCTGCAGCCAGGACGGTAAGCCAGCTTCAGGGTGGGCTCAGCAGCCACTAGGTGCAGACCAGGAGTTCCAAGCAGCTTCACTCTCCCTCTTCAACCCCTTCTTATTTTCTTCCCTGCTCCATTCTCTCCCCTTCTGGAAGACTGACCTTATGGCTGTCCCCAGCCAGGAGCGTATCTAGCTGCATCCACATTCTGAGCAGGCATTGTCCCATCAGAGGGGTTCAGCCTGTAGCACTCTCTGGGCCTGTCCCGGCTGAGGTCTATGGCGTGACATTCCAGTTGTTAGCACCTGTTCCAGGTGAGCACCTAATGCAGGGAGCTCCAGGCATGAGTGGTGCATCCTGGGCACCTGCAGGGTACTAGGTGTACCATGACCTGCAGGTGAGTATTGTCACCATTTTTCAATAAGGACACAGGAGACTGCACCACCACATCTATTGCTTTTCCAAATCCTCTATGATGCCTGGGTGCTTGTGTGTGTATGCATGTGTATATGTATATTTTTGGGCACTCATGCATGCATATTTCAGGAGTGAAGGTGATAGAACCACCCTAGGGCACAGACTGGAACAGGGAGGTGGCCTGGTGTGGAGATGGACCAAGCTGTCAGACTTGTACAGGTCTTACATGCTGCAGAAGACCAAGGATGTAAAAAAGCATGTGGTCCTAGTAGCAGGGAGCAGTAGCTCCAACACATTTGGAGCACCTCAGAGAAGGTCTCCTTGTACGAGGGAGCTGGAGCCCACATGGGTAGTCTGAGGCAGAGGGCAACTCACTCAAGAACGAGCTAGGCTGCTAGGTCCTCATACTCCAGTCTTTGCCCATCCCCTTGCAGTAGGGTGTTGGAACCTGCAACCTCCCCCTGCCCTCCAGGGCTGGCCTGGTGCCACAGGCCCAGGATTGCCTTTGTCTGCCCCTAGGGCCACTCCTGCTTATTGTGGAGTATGCCAAGTATGGCTCCCTGCGGAGTTTCCTCCGAGACAGCCGCAAGGTGGGACCTGGCTACGTGGGTAGCGGAGGCAGCCGCAATTCCAGCTCACTAGATCATCCAGATGAGCGGGCGCTGACCATGGGTGACCTCATCTCCTTTGCCTGGCAGATCTCAAGGGGCATGCAGTACCTGGCCGAGATGAAGGTGTGTACCTCAGATGCCAGCTGCCCCAGCACATGGGCTCAGCCCCGGCCTGCCACAGAGCCTGGCCTGAGGGCTCCTGCTGTTTTCCTCTTGCAGCTCGTCCATCGGGACTTGGCAGCCAGGAACATCCTGGTTGCTGAGGGGCGGAAGATGAAGATTTCAGATTTTGGTCTGTCCCGGGATGTTTATGAAGAGGATTCCTACGTGAAGAGGAGCAAGGTATCTGGTCCCAGGATGTGCTAGAAAGGGGCTCCTGTATGGGGTGAGGGGGAGTCACAGCTGCACCCACAGGATGGGCTGGCACCCTTAGAATATCTGGAGAAGATGAAGTGAACTTGCAGAGTACTGAAGTTTTCTGGCTCCAGACCCCAAATCCTTCCCCATTCTGGGTCCCCAGAGACCCCATGCAGGCTCTTCTTATGTCTGGCCCTTCCCTTCCCTAAGGCCTCTATGGTGGCTCCTCTTGCTTTTAGTCATTGTCACTTTTCAAGTTTACCTAATGCTTAGGAAATAATTTCCCTCTCCACAGTTGTTCTTCTCAATTCTATAGAATAAAAAGACCATCATTTCCTTTTTGGGTGACCTTAGCACTTTGCTGAAAGGAGGTGAAGTGAAATAAACAGAAGTTGGTGGTCTCTCTTTGTGAAAAGGAATGGACTGCTTTACAAAGGGAGTAAAGCATACCCCTATGGAGTTTTGGAGTCACATTTGAGCCCCTGGAAAATGGGTCCAAAGATACAGCTCTGGGCTCCTGGAAGCTTCCTGCAAGTCTAAGAAATATGTGGACCTCAGCATTGTCCTGTTCCTGTGGCAGCTGCCTTATCACCTGTCCTGGCTACTCTCCTGAAGCCTCCAGTGACAGCCCACACAGGACAGGTTCCTGGGGCTGTTCAGGGGTCCTGCTGACCAGGTCTTCAAAATAGACTCTGCCCTGCTCAGAAAAGAGAAGCACACAAAATTCAACTTCATTATGTGTCAGCTTGCCCGAAGGGGTTAGGAGCTGTTTTGTGTTGCCACAGGCTATGAGGACCATGTTTGTTTCTTCTAGGGTTTCTGTGGTGACAGCAGATCTCAGAACTGCTGAAAGGGAAGTGGAAGGGGTTGTGCCCCGCCCTTCCGAGAATGTGACAGAGCCTTCCTGTTCACACGTGTGCACGCGCGTGCGCGCGCACACACACACACACACACACACACACACACACAAGTCCTTCAGGGAGACCTGTATTGTGAATGGAGTGGAGGCATGCAAGGCCTTACACGGAGGGCTCCCCTCTCCTAGCACAGGCTTCGCAGAGAGCGTTGTTAGGAACATGTTCACACTTCATTAAGGATGTCAATCCTAAAGAACACTTTTGAGAAAAAAGAAGTACAATAAATGTTGGGTTAAAACTCAAGGTATACTTTTTTAATTGATATGCTCCATTAGGAGCATTGAACTGGGCATGGTGGTACATGTCTGTAGTCACATCTACTCAGGATGCTGAAACCAGAGGATCACTTGAGCCCAGGAGTCCAAGGCTTACCTGGCAACATACCAAGATCCCATTTCATAAAGAAAGGGAGGGGAGGTGGGAGAGAGGAGGGAGAGAATGAAAAGCTGTTTCTCATGTTGTGTTGGAAGAGACTTGCCAAGACAATGTGGGGAGCGTCCATTCAGAGATGCTGAAAGGACCCTGGGAAGGACATGCAGCCTGGGGTACATGCCAGGGTGTTCCTCAAGATTTCTCAGAGAGCCTCTGCATTACTTGGTATCAGAGGTTCCTAGGATGGAGACATGCTGGATGTGGTTTACCAAACAGTGTGCCCTCAGCACATGGGTCCTGCTGCAGGAGGTCCTTCCTCTACCCTACCCAAGGTACCCCAGAACCCATTCAACCTCCCCCTACACACACACACAGGTTACTTCTGTGGGTTTCTTAGTGGGCATGTGCCATATAGCAAGTCACCCTCTGTGGCTGTGGAGCATCACCTGATTCCTGCCATCATTTCAGCAAAGCCCAGAGGTTCAGGCTGCAGCTCTAGCTCCTTCGAGGCTGTGTGCAGAAATTCTGTCCCCAGGACTTGGTTGTCAGCACTCCTTCTGGAGTCTGAACTCAAGGGACATGGCTGACCTTCAGTCTGGCTCCAGGGCTGCAGAGTAACATCAATTTCTTTCCTCCACACCCTCTTTAGGGCCGGATTCCTGTCAAGTGGATGGCGATTGAGTCCCTTTTCGATCACATCTATACCACCCAAAGTGATGTGTAAGTGAAGGGTGTTGCCATCCTGTGGTGAGGGTTACAGGGACCCCAGTCAGGGAACAGTGCTGGCTCCACAGTGCCAGCTGTCCACGGTGACTCCAAACTGAGTGGCCTTCATATATTCATTCAGCAAATGGCTGAGCCCAAGCAGCAGTACCACGAGCCGCCGCAAAGAAGGGTATGGGAGCGGGGACAGGTGACCACAGTCTGCCTCTTCCCCTCACTTCCTCCACATCTTCCTTCGCATCTCCAAACAGGCCCAGCCAAACCGTTTCCCTCTCGTGGGTCCTAGGCAGGGGTTTAGCTCAGGCAGGTCATCCCATGATGTTCCCCTACTCATAAATAGGGTTTGGGGCTCCACCAGGAGATGTCTTTGGGTGAGTTTGTGGACTAATGTGTCAAAAGTACTCAAACGTGGGAGCCAAAACTCATTCTTCCAGGTTAGATGACAAGACATGATCCCTTCTGAAAATATGGCACACTTGGCTTGTAAAGAGTTCTGCAATCCACAGTCACAGATCTTGGGTAGCATGGGCTGTGAAAGTGCGGTTCCTAAGAATTTGAAACAAGTTTCCTGATCACATAAAGTTGACTGTAAAAGAATTGGAAATGCAAAGAAAAACACAAGGAGGAGACTCAGTCACTTGGACCACACTAGCCCAGCCTCACCTGCTGGCCTAAACAGGCATGGCCTTCTGGTGTTTTCTGCAGTGTGCACATATATGCTTTCTGTTTCCGTAAGTGAGCTCATGTGATACATATTGTTTTGTGGTATTTTCATTCCCACTTCATGGCAAGTTTTCTCCCACAGTTTTTTTTTCTAAAGCTTTCCTTGTTCTGAGGTTTTATAAAAATTTATTGGCGCACAGGAAAAGTGAAAGTAGTGTGCAGGGGACTCTGAGCCCCATTGCTAGGTTCTCACCCTTTAGGTGTCAGCTGTATATCCTCCTCGTGGTGTGGCTGCTCCCGTGCAGTGGCTCGGGCAGGGACTTTGGCCTCCCAGAGGCTGGAGCCAGGCAGATAGGTGGACCCTCCTCACCTCCATGCTGCATCCACCTGTGCAGCCAGACCCAGGCTGAAACCTGTGTGCTGCAGCCACTCTTGGCTCTGGGATCTGGCATGGTCAGTAGCTGCTGGGAGTGGAGGTGTGCTGGTGGGTGGCTCGGTTCCATCAAGGATGCCTCCGGGCAAGGGGAAGCCACTCACCGCTCCACTTGCTCACTGCAGGTGGTCCTTCGGGGTCCTGCTGTGGGAAATTGTGACCCTAGGGGGCAACCCCTACCCTGGGATTCCTCCAGAGCGGCTCTTCAACCTTCTGAAGACAGGCCACCGAATGGAAAGGCCGGACAACTGCAGTGAGGAGATGTAAGTGGGGTTTGCCTTGCCTAGCTGCCCTTCAGCACTGCCCTGGGCCTTGGATGGAAGGGGACATGGTCACCTATTCCCTCTCCATTCCTGAACATCTCTGAGCCACCAACCCTGAGGAAGCTAAGTGATAGGGAGTGACAGGCAGAGCTCAGAGAGCCACCTTGAGTTTGGGGAAGATACTGGTGCGCCTGATCCCACTTGGTTTCCTGAGATTTTTCCAAGAATGGATGGGAGCAAGCACTGGCATTGTATGAACACAAGACGTCCTGCAGCACCCTTGGAGAGGGCATGTGTTGGGGAGGTGCAGAGGCAGGCAAGGAAGGCTAAACTTCATCCCAAGGGCACTGGAGCCAGTTCACCTATGCTGGGCAGTTAAATCAGATGGTTCTGGGAGGCCAGATCAAAACAGATAAGAAGGGGCCATCAGAGGAAGAGGCATGCTTCCCCATTCATGCCACAGTCTGCCTAGCTTGGTCCAAGGTGTGATGTGCCAGGGTGAAGAGGCACCTCCCTGGGTGCCTGAGCTAGCACCTGTGTCCCTGTGGTCAGGGACAGGGACCTGTGTCCCTTCAAGCAGGGAAGGTACAAGACAGAGGCATGAATGACTGCCAGAAGTTTTGTTTCCATACCCAGCCCTTTGTCAGTTCCTCCTTCATGAGAGTTTTAAGTTCTGGCACTTCCTGCTTGGCCACCATAGCAGACACAGCTTCAGTCCATTGTTCACCAGTGTCTTTGTAGGGAAAGGAACAGTTATCCCTCTCAGGGAGAAGGGAGCCTCCAGGATGCCATGCCCCCATCCCCAGTGAGGGTTGTCAACAATGCAGCAATCACTTTGGGGTTTGGGGACAGAGCCCCTGGTCCCAGAGCACTGTGCTGGGTGTGGTAGCTCTGCATGTGGTCCTGGTGAGACCTGACCCTGCTGTCTCATCACTCCCTGTGTACTTTTCACTCCAGGTACCGTCTGATGCTGCAGTGCTGGAAGCAGGAACCAGACAAGAGGCCAGTATTTGCTGATATCAGCAAAGACCTAGAGAAGATGATGGTCAAGAGCAGAGTGAGTCCTGGAGCTGCTTCCCATAGGCAAAGATGAAGGGGGTTCTGCCTCACCCCAGGGCAGTGGCTTTAGGCCAGTGAAATTCCAGTGCGGAGCCAAAGTAGGGCTGGCCAGAGAGAAGGTCACGTGTTCACTCGGGGCAAGATTCTGACCAAACTCTGCATCTCAAGCAGGTCCCTTGGGCTTTACTTCAAATCATGAAGAAACCAGACTCCTAGCTTGACACTTAGCAAGAGTTCTCCACAGGCAAGCAATATTCCAAAACTAAAGGAGATTGCTTGTAATTCTGGAATGTGAGAAAAAAATAGTGGATATCCTAAATGCATATGCCCTGATATGCCCATCTGGGGATGGGCAGTGACAAGGGAGTGATGGGCACTGTGGCACACAGGGATGCTCATCCCCCTCTAAAGACTCCTTCACTGTCACTGTGTGTGCCCTATAGGAATAGGAGCCCAGCATGCCAGGTCTTCTGAGTTTTAAGAGGTTTATTTTAAGCCTCTAGTTTTTTATTGTTAACAACTCATTTTAATTTCCCAAAGCCCAGTGTGGGCCAAACAAACCTTGTCTGAGGGTCCAACAGCCTGGGTGCCTCCAACTTACAACTCTGTAAGTAAATGAGCAAGTCAATGAATTTGGGGCTGATATTTATTGAGCAACCACTACACAGTATGTTCTGTCTTGAATGCTGGGAACAGAAGTAAGCAAGGCCATCCCCGTCTGCCCTCACACTGTCCATACAGAGGTTTCATCTTCACACTTTCTAAAAGATGTCCTTCCCTCAGACTCAAAAAAACAGATATAAGATCTAGGCCCCCTACGATAAAACTTAACAGTACTGTCATTTCTTGGGTAAAACTTCTGGGTCCTGTGAGTGCAGGGTTGTCCAGAGCAGAAGTAATAGCAGATGCCACGAGAGCCAACCATCTTTAGAACAATGCTAGGAAACAGCTGGGATAATGCTGGGACCCTCCACACAATGTGAAGCAGAGTAGCATAAGTAGCACACGTGCGACAGTCGTCATACTCGGGAGCTGAAACCTGTAGTGGCACCATGTTCACAACCAACATAGTGAAATATTTCAGATGCCTAAGTACTGATGTGATATTCTAGATGGCAGAGGTCCTGGAAGGGAAGCTTATGGGCATGGGTCACTTCCACATGAGTAATGTGACCGCAGGGAGCTCTTCCAGGCCTGAAGGCTTATGAACAGGTTAGTTTCCCAGCCCTCTGCTGCAGGCTGTAGACATGGCTGGGTGTGGCAGCCCCCAGAGCTTTTCCTCAGCAATGGCCTCCTGGATGAGGGGCTTTGGTCTTGCAGAGAGGGCAAGGGCCAGTGCAGGGTGAAAATGCAACTAGAGCCTCTGCACTGTGGGCGTCAAAGGGCCTGGGGTGTGTCCAGGAGTGGCCCAGGGTCAAGGGTGACTGGCCATCTCTCTCTTCCAGGACTATTTGGACCTTGCTGCATCTACCCCATCTGACTCGCTGCTCTATGATGATGGTCTCTCAGAAGAGGAGACGCCCCTGGTGGACTGTAATAACGCTCCTCTCCCGCGCACGCTCCCTTCCACATGGATTGAAAACAAACTCTATGGTAGAATTTCACATGCATTTACTAGATTCTAGCAACATGTGCCCTCTGCACTATCCTCACTGTCTGTAATGCTTTTTAAGAGTGTTTCTGATCTGATGAAGCCAAAGTCCACTCTGAACCCTTTTCTTTGTAAATCTCTGACTTTGCATCCGGTTTACATTCAGGCATTTTTGCAGCTGTGTCTTTCTAAAAGGATGTGAAAATAAGAGTCATTACCACACCACCCAGCAACTTAAAATGACGGAGGAGAAACAGATCAGGGCAGAATTCTCAGGGGACATTGAAAAAATGATAAGTCATTCCCAGGGTGGGAAGAAAGTCACAGTACTTCTGATTAGTTACTTGGATAAATTTAACCTGATCTAGGATGGATTTAATGTAGAAACGAGCAGCTTGCACCCCCAGCCTGCACTGACAACAGAGCTGGAAGACCAGACCCCTCCTAGGCTGGTGGGTGCCTCATGGAGGCTATGCATATCCCATTCCCAACCGTGTGTCCAGCTTCTACTACCATGCCCTGGGTACACACACCCTGACTGCTGTTTTCACATCCTTTGCACCCCTGTCACGACAGTTGTCACTTACAAAGCCAGTGCTAAACGCTGGAGCCAATGCTTCTGAAAGAACGTAGAATGTGGTGCTGTGGCCTTGCAATCGACAGTAAACATGGTTCTTGCCAAAACTCCTTCTTTTGTGTTGGATTAAATACTTGAAATTTTTTCTGCTTCCTAACTTCATCATTGATCATTTTGAAGTCTTGGAGTTTCAAGCATTTCTCAAACTGAGACTGTTCTGTCTGCATGCTTCCCGACTCCCGGGTCCTCACTGGCTTTGGGTCTAGCACTACACACCAATGTGTGCTGATGATGTTGTGGGGCGGCCTGTGTGTGCCCTCCACAGGGAAGGAAGTGCCTCTCCTCCACTGTAGGCTCCCTTACATTAGAGAGTGTTTTACGGAACATTCCCGCCACAGTAAGCCATCTAGTACAGCAATGTACTGATGCTTGACACTGCCTCAGGAAAACAGTTAAGCAGTTCAACAAATAGACATCAGATTTGAGAGTCTAAAGCTTGTTAAACTCAAAATTGGTAATGCCTGCTAAATTACATTTACCAAGAGAGCACGTGATCTTTCCCCTAAATAGAAAGTGTGTTGGAAACCTGGAATGCCAAAACAGGAACGCAATTGGCCCAGAAAGTATGAGTTTGGTTTGAACATCAAAGGGAGTTTTGCCAAGGCCTTACTGTCTGCACATGAAGTTTGAGTTCTTCAGTGCAGAACAAATTATCTGTTTTCATTTTTAGGCATGTCAGACCCGAACTGGCCTGGAGAGAGTCCTGTACCACTCACGAGAGCCGATGGCACTAGCACTGGGTTTCCAAGATATGCAAATGATAGTGTATATGCTAACTGGATGGTTTCACCCTCAGCGGCAAAATTAATGGACACGTTTGATAGTTAACATTTCTTTGTGAAAGGTAACGGACTCACAAGGGGAAGAAACATGCCGAGAACGCAAAGTCCACCGGCCCCTTCTTTGTGCACATCACACTGGTCCAGCCAAGGCCAGTTTCCAGGTGGCAGACTCGTATTCGGTAGTTTGTTTTAACTGGTTTCCAATAGCCAGTGATTTTCCCTCCCAGCAGACCTTCCCCACTGGATGAGTGCTCTGGTCTTGGTGGTTAAGTACGCCTTTCCCTTTGGCACCAAACCAAAGGTCTGTGTCCGTCAGTAAACCACATGTGTGGGTCTGCCACTTACTACTTTGTAGAAGAAATTGTACCTGAACTGTTTGATTTTTCTGGTTGCCACCACCAAACAATGCAACAAGGTTTAAACATGAAGCACACACACACACAAGGGAAGTAGGAAAAAACTGGCCAGAATGGCCTGTCTTCGTTCAGAATGAGAGCCTGGTGGGGCCAGATGGTGTCAAAGCTTAACAAGGCTGAAAGGGGAGAAAAGGGGGACTATGGATGGGCCTTGGCTCAGCGATAAGACCCTGAGAATAGTTTTTTACAATCATGTAGCCTTTTTTTAAGATTACACTTAGTTTTTATCATGATTAATATGGTTCTTAGATTTAGCACAATGGAGAGATTTGATGCTGTCCTTGCTATGTACGTGGTGGCTTAGGGAAGTAGGCTCAGATTGCGTGTTGCCCTCACATGTTCAGTACTGAGTGACAACTATCCCTGACCAGAACAGGATGGAATGGAGTGGTCTCCAGTCCCAGGATGGCTGGCAGCAGAGGCCTTGTGCTATGAATGCTACCCTGGCATCCTAGCAGTGCTCATCTTCTGCATTAGGAGCAGGTGGACTTGTCTCATTTTTATTGTATCTTACTGGCTCACTCCTAAAGGGATAGTTCAGCAAGTTGTGTTAGGAGTAGCACTGGCAAAGACCAAGGATTGCTGTACCTCCATTACAAGTGTGATGTGGAAAGACAGTGTCTCGGCTCTTACAGAGCTCATGCAAGAAGGCACGTGGATAGGCCCTTCCTGTGTTTGCTGCTGTAGCAAACATTTTGGTTTCTTCAGTTCTGACCATGACTCATACATAAGGTTCCTATCTTTCTCCGTTATTGGCTGTGACCACAAGACACTCAGTGCTCCTCAAGCCTTTTGGGGGTGGCTCTTAGGAAGTCTAAGCAGCTCTTTTGGCTGTTCCAGCTCTTTGGGCTGTCAGTTCACAGGAAAGGATCATATTACCAAAACACTGCCTGGTCTTCAAACTTAAAGCACTGTGATAGGACTTTTAATAGTCTCAGTAAAATACTGTATTTCATAGGCATTTCACAAAAGCAGTAAAAGGAGGCATTTTGTGTGGCCAACAAGCTTAGATGAGGGATAAAGCCTTATGGAGTGTGTGTGTATGTGTGTGTGTGTGTGTGTGTGTGTGTGTGCGTGTGCTTGTGCTGTGCAACGCACACGCACACACACACACATCCAACGCACACACACACACACACACACACATCCAGTCAGGGAGCTGGACAATGCTTATTTGGACATGTAAAGTGGCTTTAGTTTGGGCCATTTTTCAGATACACTGTGATAAGTTCTTTTACAAATATCTCTAGTCATGATAAACTTTTGATTTTCAGATGAACTTAATGATAGTCTTATTAAATGCAGAAATAAGATAAACTCTCAAATTATTAATTTTGCCTATGCAGTTAGTATAAATTGCTACAGCAAGTTTGTTCTCATGAGATGAGAGCTCCAGGTCTAAACAGCTAACCAAGGAGTGGGGAATGAACACTTGACTTATAACCCACTTCTCTGTCTGTTCCTGAATTACAAAAGTACCCATACTTATTAGTCCCATCAGACAGAATTTTCATATACATCTATGTAGCAATGACTAAGTATTAAATATTACTGAGTATTAAGTAGCAATCTGTCAGCTATTAAAATTTGTAAAATCCATTTAAGAAGGGTTATTAAACCATACCATGTTAATTTGTTTTTGTAATCAAGGTGACTAAGGAAATAATTTCAGTTGTGTAAATAAAATCATGTATCATAAAATGTGTAAACTTCTTTTCTCTTTTTAACTTTCTAATTGGAAACATCAGATCTCTGGTTTTGAAGTTTCTATACAAGAATTAAAATGTTGCAGGAGAATCTATCACAGTAGCCACTGATGATCAATGGTGATCAGGGACTAGAGATTTATGGTGTTGTTGTGGTATGTCTTGCCCAATATGCAGGTGACAAGGTACGCTGATGGTAACTGCTAAGAGCTGAGATAGCCTCACACTTCTAGGAATTTCTCCCTTCAGGTTATTTTCCTAGAACAAAGCAGCCATTGTTGAGTTTAGGTACTCATGGTTCTGTAGCAACTCCTAGCTGCTGATTTCTTTAAGTTTGAGAGAATGTATTGAGTAGTAATCTGCCAGTTATTAAAATTTGTAAAATTTACATAGTCGTGAATGAAGTCTCACTAGAAGCTAGAGGAAAGTTGTTGCTCTAAATCACTATGAAGCTTAACATGCTGATGGTTTCTGTTTATGTCTTCTCCCTTGGTGCATATTGGAATTCCATGATCCCCCAGTCTCTGGCAAGGAGTGGGCAAGTCAGCTAGCAAGCATGAGTTGTTACCCAACATCAGTGTGAACTGGGATTGCATTGTGCACTGGATATCAAGGTCTTCTGTCATTTCCAGTGTACACACATACATGTGTACTCACAGATCTGGGCATGCATCACCCAGCAACTGCCTGCCCCCATCCCTCCACCCTAGGCCTTCAGTGCCCACATCTGCTCACAGCTGCCTCCAGTCTGGACCACAGAGCCTAGAAATAAAAAGAATGTTAGGCTGCATAGATGACTCAGGACAGTAATTTTCCTCTGTAACCTTTACCTCAGAATGTTGAAAAACCCAAGCTGAGAAAAGCTAATACTAACAACCCCTTCTTCAAAGCATAGATGCTCCATGAGGAGTATTGGTGTAAGTGTGTTTGTTATTTTTTTTCCAGCAACCCTCCATGAAGGATTCATTTCCACCAGGAGACCCGTTTATTTGAGTGGAAATCTAGTTGAATATGTCTGAGAGCAAGACTTAGCTAAATTCCTCATATATAAGAGGAAAATTAAAAGGGAAGCATAATTTCTACTTAAATAAGAAAGCATTTCCCCAGACAGAGCAGTGAGCAGATCCTCTCTTGCCTTCAAGCATGTTCACACATAGTGTATTTAGCTGTCCTTGCAACTGGAGGGCTGGTCCGGGAAGTCCTAAGACACCAGTACCTCTGTGGCTATGAACAAGGTGTAGTGAGAGTGGCTCTGAGGTGCACACGCAGCAGGGAGCCTGCAACCCCTCCTATCTTCAGCATGAAGATTGACCTGTATGCCTGTGTCCACCTTTCTCCACAATAGCAGCCTTGGCTGGAACTTTGTAGAGCCTCCCACCTTGTTAGGGTGCTGGGACTTACATGAGGGACCACCTCAGCTAAGATCATAAGAAACCAGAACCTGTATGGAGAGAATGGTTCAATTTGGGCACATTGCTGTGTCCTTCAGCAAGGCCAGTTGTGGCCATCTACAGCTACAGGTAAGCTTCCCTTTCAGAGTTAAGGAGGCAAACACTG